TAGTAACACCTTGAATGGCTTTCACACTCATCAACGCAGTCGATAGCACGCTGAGCAGATATGCGGTCTTCACCCGTCGTTATGAAGGTCTCAAGTCCTAACACACGTTCGAACAGGAACGCCAACCGCTAGTCCCACCAAGCACACAGCCTCGTCGAAACGCCTCACAGGACAAACGACTCGCACTAGTGTCGCCTCCTTCCCTCCACGCTTTCGCAATCAGAGCAGGTCCGCCGAGTACTGGATCCGCGCCAAAACGCGATACCATGCTTGCCTTGTGCGAGAATAGCTTCTGCCATATTCGACCTGATGAACGAATAACAGTACAGTGGAGTAATACTCGATGTGAATTATAACATATATGGTTCTACGACCAATAACAAAATGGTTGGCCGCGAAGTAAATTGTGAATGATATTTTTCACTAGTATTTCACATAGTTAGTAAAACTCCAGTAGAGGAACCTCTTGGTCATCGTACAGGCTTTCCCTGCTCCATCATCAACTTCTGTTTTCTCGGCAACTCTCGTCAAATCTCGAACCGTCCTAAGAATAAATCAACAATAAAAAAACAGTCCAATACTTACTCGACAGAACCAGGGAGCACATCTCGTAAGAGCTCTTCCACATCTTCACCAAGGACCACTCCACTGTCTTCATACGACCCAGGACGAGGAATCGCAGGGGACGGAGGAATTACTCCGAGATGATCACTTAATGCTTGGGGAAAATATCTCGCAACCGTTTCGAAACCGTGCATGGTATCTTCCATCGCACCCTCAATAATATCTTCCAGCCGTTTCACCATCACCAACAACACCATACCAAAACTTTTCCAAATCGCCCTCAGACATTCTTCCGAAGAGATCACTCCTGCCATGCTCAGCTTCGAGTACTCATAATATCCAATTGAGATTTTCTCCTTCAGATTCTCCAACGCCCACACTCGTCGCTCCCCCAGAAAGGCCGCATCAACAGCGCGAGCCTCAGCTTGGTGACAACTGGTCTGATCCGCGAGCTCCGAGAATCTAAACTCAACCGTGTAACCTCCATACCATCTTTTCAGGGCATTTCCAACGAAGAGAAGACCCTCCTCAGGTGCTCGGAAAAGCAACAAGCCATTCTGAGGGTCTTCGAATAGGCGCCGAGTGACTTCCACCAGACCCCCATGGATCACCAGAGCCCGACAAAGTAAGCCCTGTAGACCTCTTTTCTGCGCGCTACTCCTCCTTGTTAGGAAGCTCGATGCTGAGGGCAACCACGGACGAAAAACAAAGAGTGGCGAAGTGAACAAAGGCAGAGGAATGCTGTCATTCGACAAAGCGCACGAGAGCGGCAACAACACCATCGACAGGCAAGCAAACACCTCCCTGCCACGATGACGTTGCTTGGGGGCTCGGAAGGAATAGTAAGTGAGGGCCACGCCGAAGTAAAGACCCTTCACAACAGCGAAGACTTTCATCAGACCCAAGTCGGCGACCAATACCAAAACAGCAGTTTCTGGCAGTTCATCGGGATCACCCCACAATAGAAGTAACGCCGCTGTAACTGCTATCGAGAGCCCTAGGGGTAGTCCCCGCGCTCCACTGGTAGCCGCGGCGAAGTGACGTATACACAGCCAAGCCATTCCCCAGTCCGTGACTGTTGTATCAATGAGGAAGCAGGCCAGACCGGTCATCAAACTGAGGTGAGCGAGACCTTCAACTGACCATGGGAGGTGTCTTCTCAGTTGTAGGACAGAACATTCCACCAGACCAGAAATCAACACGATCCACCATTGAGTCGGACTGGAATCAGCAACTTGTCGGAGGCCCCACCCAAGGCCTATTCCAATACTGCACACTGTCAGCTGCCTCAGCACTGCTGTTGGGTTGCAATGAAATGATGGAGGGATCAGACCGAGTAGTACACCGATAGAGGCGTAGACCAGCAGATGAGCTTCAGAGACGACTACAGCCAACACTGCTACTATGGCCAGAGGCACTACTGGCACTGGGTTGGTCGTACCGCAGAAATAATACGCCGAAAATTCGACTATCCACAAACAAGCGTCCTCAAACTTCGGCAGGAGACCCGCCGCCCACAAACATGGACACGCCGCTATCACTATGTACAAAATAGAGGCAACTACTTCTTGCTGTGTTATGACGGCGATACAAGCAGCGAGCAGAAGAAGCAGGAGAGTCAGTGAGCGGGACAGTGAAGGGTCGCAGATGTTACGACTAACTACAGGGGCCAGCTCGACAGGAGCCACGCCAGTGATTGTCGAGAAGCCACCAGTAGTGGACACAGCAATAGCTGACAGAATGAAGTACGGCTGCCCTCGAGCCGATGCCCAGGCTAATAGACCGAAGTTGAGACCGATCAGTACTGGACGAACATAGGAGATTGAATTGGTTGAGTCAAACGTTAATCCAAATTTTATAGCGGTGGTAACGTTGTCGACTTCCTCAGTCACATAGTCGTTCCAAAATATTCGCTCACCAGAAATCGAACTCGCAACCTTTCGGTTGTTAACGATACCGCTAACCATCATGATAAATAGACTGAATAACACACCCCATACCGCCAGAACCCCACATAGCTGCCATTCGCCGACCTCCTTCACTACGAAATGAGCGATAAGCAGACCTGCTAAAGGTAGCAGGTACATCACCATCTGTATAGTCATAGCCAAGCACCACCAACGACCCGAGGGAGGCGCCTTCAACCCACCAAGCACTGTACTCCATAGGAAGCGGCGTAATACAAACACTCCACGACCGTCATCGAATAGGTGACCAGCATATACGTCAGTACTAGGCATCAAAAACCATGCGAAAAATAAACTGTTGAAGACTACAGCTGTAGATTGATAGGCTAATCGCCGTAGCCGATTCTTGGTAAGTGAAGACAGCGATCAGTCTTAGAAGATTCTTAGTCATGCCTCGTTGAGTCAACGAGTAAGACCTTTTACAATATCATCATCACGTCGCTTAGCACTCGACACGACAGGTGCGAGAAATCACCGACTACGCTTTCGGGTTCTAACTCGGGTAAAATCATGCAGTTTTTCACCGAAGAATCTTCATACTGCTAAACTGGATGGAATTATAATCAACAATTTACATTGTGAAACATACCCATCGTTTATAGAACCGAATCAGGCGTGAACCGTCCTGAGAAATCCTCTTGTTGGCCCTCTGGGGCGCACCCTGCTCACTTGCAAGTTCAAGTACTGTATATATCATTTCGATGAGAAATTTCAATAATTTTTGATCGACTGACCGAAGCTTTATTTTAAAGCAGAAGGATAGCAGGAAAAGTACAAGTCGAACATAAACGATGACCGAGTACTCCCATGCTGCGCCCTAGTCTAAGCGTTTTCGAGTCTTCTCGGCATCCCTTGCCCTCACTTCGGCCATTTCTGACATTGACCAGTACAAACGGATGGCAGCGGAATGCACTATTGAAGGTACTATAAGTACTACGAAATCAATAAGCGAAGAAATTCATAACATTTTTCAGCAGATGGTCGAGTAGTCGAGACTCGACCCCTGTAATAGTCGAAGCCTCCACTGTCGAGCTCTCTAGTGGACAAGTCTACCATCATCTGTGCTCTGTGTTGGGAAACATGTCCGGTTCCATCAACCAAACTCAGTATTTTCCTAAGCCGTGTGACAAAATGGGTCAAAAGAATAGATAATATATTAGGTTTACAACCATATGATACTGCATAGTATGCAGAGCAAACTACGGCGGTGGTCTTCAGCAGAGAATCCTCCGATGGAGCCCTTAGCTCGACGAATTTCGAAGTTTTTTATTTCGTGGCGCGCGACGAATCTTCCACTCCGCTGGTCGATTGTAGGTGACTTGTGGCATAGTTGCCCCACTTCAATCTTCGTTCCTAATGTGCATACGGGATTAATTCCACTAGAGTGCTTCTTGGAATGGCATAGCTGCCCCACCCTGACAATTCGACTTTCACTCCTCCTCCATGTACGGAGGTGATTCGATTAAGGTGTATCTTGGAATGGCATAGCTGCCCCACCCTGACAATTCGACTTCCACTCCTCCATGTACGGAGGTGATTCTATTAAGGTGTATCTTGGAGTGGCATAGCGGCCCCACCCTGACAATTCGACTTCCACTCCTCCATGTACGGAGGTGATTCTATTAAGGTGTATCTTGGAGTGGCATAGCGGCCCCACCCTGACAATTCGACTTCCACTCCTCCATGTACGGAGGTGATTCTATTAAGGTGTATCTTGGAATGGCATAGCTGCCCCATTTCAAGATAGAGGGCAATGCCATGTACCATGGAGAGGTTTAATGAGGTAATAATGTATCCACTCGATGGGATGGAAAAGTTCCGACGATGCCGATCATAACTCCGCCTGCTACTATCCATGCCTTCATTCATTCCCCTATGAATGGCATAGCTGCCCCACTTCAAGATAGAAGGCAATGCCATGTATTATGAGAGAAAATTCAAGAAGGCAACAATTCACACAAGTGGGGTGGAAAAGTTCCCGAAATGCCCAACATAATTCTGCCTCCTATTATTCATCCCTTCATCCATTCGCCTATGAATGGCATAGCTGCCCCACTTCCAGATAGAGGGGAACGCCATTGAATAAGGTAATAACTCATCCAGATTTTGGTATGGAAGAATCTCCCAAGATTCCGGACATAACTCCTCCTGCTCTTATCCATGCCTTCATTCATTCCCCTATGAATGGCATAGCTGCCCCACTTCAAGATAGAGGGCAATGTCCTTGGATAAGGTAATAATTCGTCTGAATTTTGGTATGGAAAAGTTTTTTTTTCGACGCCCAACATAACTCCATTTACTATTACTGTCAGTGCGGGAAATATGCACATAGTCAAGTAGACTATGCGTATATTTCCCCAGTGCGGGAAATATGCACATAGTCAAGTATACTATGCGTATATTTCCCCAGTGCGGGAAATATGCACATAGTCAAGTAGACTATGCGTATATTTCCCCAGTGCGGGAAATATGCACATAGTCGAGTAGACTATGCGTATATCAGTGCGGGAAATATGCACATAGTCAAGTAGACTATGCGTATATTTCCCCAGTGCGGGAAATATGCACATAGTCAAGTAGACTATGCGTATATTTTCCCCACTGCGGGAAATATGCACATAGTCAAGTAGACTATGCGTATATTTTCCCCACTGCGGGAAATATGCACATAGGAACCTATGCGTTGACCATAGGTATAATTATAATCATTTCTAAAAGTTTCAAGCATCCAGATAAAATAATGGAGTTTCACGACCCGTTTTACGTCAAGTGGCGTAAAACTCGGTGAAAAACGCGATATCCGCGGTATACTGTAGTAGTCGTGAAATATGTTTTTCACTAGTGTTTTTCATATCACCAGGGTGAAACTCCAATGTTAATTTATACTGCTGCTGAAAAATGGGCTTCCAAACTTCAAAATTGTAGAAGTCATTTCACTGATATTTTTCAAGACCTTCGGATGAATATAGCATTAGAAATTATAGCTTCTAAGCTACCATCAATTCATCGAAATGCCACTATCTCACACTCAAAGCATAGGAGGACTACCAGAGGTTTAACATACTCTGCAAAGCAAGTTGTTACTCATGTGAGCTCTTACTCGCTGTTGGGCTGAGTTCAGAGAGGAGTGGTATTAGTTATATTCTCAGGTGACTGAACAAATGGCGACTATGACTACCGCTCGATTCGTCACTAAAGTGATAATTAACTCGCCAAGTTTCATACCACATTTCCATCACTTCATGTCGTATACTAGGTCCTGCGTTGTATAATGCATCAATAATCCTCAGTTTTAACTTAGTTATGCAGTCGCCTGAAGCAGTCCAGCAGAACCCTTTAGCTCGAAGCCCTCTAGCGATCGATCAAGACTGTGCCGTAAGCTGGGTGGGGAATGCAATCTAGTGAGAGATAGCTCATAAGAAAGATCTTGGCGAGCATTTTTCAATGGCATTTTTGAATTCTAAATATATGTTACGTGCCATATTGGTTAGATTTATCACGTACTTTGCGACACCTAATTGTGAATACGTCGGCAGGACTAAAGATACCATTGAAGAATGCTCTCTAATGAGCCATCTCTTACTAGACAATAGCACATTTTATTTCGGGTATCCTGTATGTTATATATATATGTTATATCTGTGTCCTGTATGGTTTCCATTGACATTAACACACGCGCGTACGTGATGCTGTAATTTCTCTATCACAGTTCTCACTTCAGAATTAATACACCAATCGATAATAGTCAACGACATGTGTAGATAACAATATAAAAATTAACAAAAAATTATTCTGGGTTTTTGTACACTCCTCAGCTGAGGAGACTTTCGGTGTGGGAAAATATGCACATGGTCATCAACTACATATTAAA